TGCCCTTTTTTGTTTGGTGGGGGGGGGGGGGGGGCATCTGGGTGCCCCCTTTAAAAAAGGCCAGAAATTTGATCAACTGCTTATTTTTGCCTAGGGTCCAAAAAAAAACCAATTATACTCACCCAATCCTCGGAGCAGACAGCACTCAATCCGGCCTCTCTCCTCTTTCCCTCACAGCCAATACACTGAAAGGGTTAATTAAATTTCTGCCTGGAGTGCTTCTTTAAGGAATATTATAACATTTGCACATACTGAAAATTGGAAAGAATCTATGTTTATGATTTTGTCAAATATTTTGCTACATAAAATAGTATAAACATGTATTCTACATTATAATATTGTCTCTATACATTTTAGGGACATGCATAATAAAGATTGACATTTTTAGCAATTAATACAGTAGAATCACTGGGCATCAGAGGGGATCAAACGCAAAACAATAGATATCAATGAATGTGACAAGGTGGATCTTTGACCTTGAAGTATGCAGCCTAAAAGAATGAATGTAGAAAAAATTTCTAGACTTTTGTTTGGCAAATAATTAGGTGTGTTATGAGAATAGAAAATTGGGTGGATGTTTTATATTTATATTATTTTTGGGAGATCATCAATTAAGAATGATAACAATAGGTATATTGAATATGTTATATTGCTGGTGCAGCCATAAACCAATGGGGATGGAATAAACGTACTTGGAGGGACATCTAGTGGTCATATGTGTGATTGAAAGGGGGATTTCAGAAAATGTATATAAGAATAGAGGCCAGAAGTGAGGAAGGAGCCTTTGGGATTTGTATGTGGAAATGATGGCACTACACTTCCTACTCCTGAGGAATTCATAGTGGCAAACTGTGGTGAACGGGTGGGATATATGACATCATCACACTGTCAGGAGGAGAGCTTTCTAGAGATTTAAGCTGGCTATATCATGGTGTGGGAAAAGCACCTATGATTTATGAGTTTTATTTTTTATGTTTTTAATAAATGTTTATGCTATTTGAATTACACTATGGGAGCATTTGTATTTTTTCTACACTACTAATAGAGACTCTGAGGAGGATATTCGTATTAAGCAAAAGGGGATGCTTTCCAGTGATAACATTGATATTAAATTAAACAATTTTTGATTTTACTCTGGCAGTGGGTCATATATTTCTGGCGAGTGAGCCAAGCTAGGGAGGTCGACGTTTGTTAGGCCTCATTCACACTGTGTTAATTCGGGCTGTGCACGCCCGTATCGGGCCATTCCTGGGAGGGACATTTGTAAATAATTGAGGACTTAGTATGTTTACTGTGTCCCCAATTATGAATGAATGGGAGTGATCTACATCACCTCCTGTTCATTCATGATTGTGGACATGGTAAACATACTATCTCCACAAGTTATGAATGAACAGGAACACTCAGTATGGAGGCTTCCTGTTCATTTATAAGAGGGGCTGCAGAAAAAGAGATTGAGGGCTCTGTGTTCTCAATCCCTTTTTCTATTTTAAAAGGGAAATATCAGGGGTCTGTATAGACCCCTAATATTTTCTTGAAGCCCCTGTGTCAGAGGGGACACAGAGCAGCGCACAGCGGGGATGAGAGAAACAATGGATGCACTGCAATTTTGGCCAAAAGATGGCATTATCGGCATTTTGCCAACAGTGCCATTTTCGGCCGATATATTCAGTTTTCTTGTTTTTAGACGTCTTCTCCTTTATTTTCACCTGGTGATCCAGCCAGTAATACACTTCCTGATTTAGGGTATCTCCACTCTATGGAGGAGCAAAGGAACTCTCCTTTGACAGCAGCATTGTCAACCTGAAGAGAGGGTAATATTAGATGGACTAACAGATTCCAGCTAACACTTTAGCAGTTACGGCAAAAGCTTTTTATTTCCTTTTGGGATAAAGGTTTTACATTAAAGGAGAACTATGAGGTGAGTGCTTTTCACTCACCTAATAGATCTAGCCGACCTGTGACAATGAGACTGTCACAGGTCGGCTCAGTAGATCGGGAGGTGAGCGAACATATACCGGCGTTCGCTCACCTCTCGATCCTGTCACGGCTCTCTGCCATGACAGGGGAGGGGCTGGATTCCCCCCTCCCCGCTCCGATCGGCTAGCGCTAACTGGCGGAACGGACGGGGGAGGGGGCGGGTACAGCTGGCTCTGCCTCTAGATAGGCAGAGCCAGCTGTCACTCACACAGCTGGGCGGATCTCGACATCGATGTCGGGATCCGCTCCGGCGTCTCAGTATACTGCGACCTGTAGCTCGCGGTATACTGAGCTTAGGGTAACGGGAGGACGCTAAGGAGAACTATGGGGAAAAGCCCTGACCCCATAGTTCTCCTTTAATGAATAGAAGCTGACCATTGTAAGCACCCCTGTCAGAGTTATGGTTTGTTAAAGAGACGTTGTAAAATTACCGACTTCCCAGTAGGATCACCAAGTGAAAATAAAGGAAAAAAGCCTAAGAAAAGAAAACTAATGCAGCAACATCTAAGGATTGCTAAACCGCAATCTATTACTTTTTTTAATTTTGAGTTTAGATACACTTTAAGGTTTGTGGCCAGCTTTAATCACAATAATTTTTACAAGTATTTTAGCTATTAGTCTAGTTCCAAGTACTGACAGAAGAGTTCCCGTTTAAAACATGAACCCTTACTATAAATAATCTGAACAGAATAATCTATAAAGCAGGTAAAATACAGTTAGTATAAAATATAGTTAGTATAAAACACCTGTGTCTTTGTGTTCCTCAACAGTCTGCACCATACACTTACAGGTCAGTTTCTCCACTAACATCTCTGCCAAACAATTCTCAGGCATTTCTCTGGACCCTACAGGCTGAACAGATGGAAGACAATAGGGAATATTAGTGTCTAGAGCAGAAAATAATTATGCAAAAAAGGGAAGGTGACATACATTCACTTACATGCATGATATAATTTACAACAAAGTTGTATACATTAGTTTATGCTCATGTTATATTAAGAAAAAATGTTTCCTTCAAAATTCAGGGTGCCAAGTTCCCTTGGGAAAGTGCTGTAACAGGATGTGAAGTTTGCCCTGATAAAATCTATGGAGACCAAGAAATTCACATTAATGGAGATGTTATGATGGTGTTTAAGCAATACTATGAAATGACAAAGGTATGTGAATATAAATATCAATTTACGTATTTAGGAAACCTTCCTTAAAGTGACACTAAACTCAGGAGTTACATCCTAAAAATGCATTCAAGGTACCATCATTATTAACAAAAATGTATATTATTTGTGTATCACTCGGCTGTAGATCCTCAAATCATCTCTGAATTTGTGCTGACACTGTCCTTCCTTCTGGAGGGTAGCTACTTTTGTTCCCATGGTCCCTGTGGGTGTTGTAAAGTAGCCACTGCACCAACTCGCTCCCATCCCATGATAGACTATGATCTCAATACAAATTAGCAAACTTAACGTGAGATTGTAGTCCATCATGGCAGCAAGCTTCGAGCGATGGCTACTTTACAACACACAGGGACCAGGAGGAACAATAGTAACCACCCTCCAGAAGGAAGGACAGTGTCGGCACCAATTCAGAGATGATTTGAGGATCTACAGATACATAAATAAGCTACATTTTTGTTAATAATTGGGGTACTTGAAAGCATTTTTAAGATTTAACTGCTGAGTTTGATGTCACTGTAAAGCTAATGTGCATATTGATAACTTGTAGTGTAAGAAAAGGTAGGACAAGCATTTCAGTGTTGTTTGCAAGAGGGCTGTAGGAGGCATTATTACAAATCAGAAAGATTAGAGATCTGCCTCTGCACAGTATGATCACTACACATGTGAATCAATTCTTCCCTGATATGGACAACTGTTTCTTTATCTCGTTAAGTATAGCTAATTTTTCTATTGCTTCGAGAGATTTTGGTAAATTGCTTAGCTGGCACCAGAGTCTTTTGTTGTAACATGATGGTGCTTATTTTGTAAACTGTTGCTTTTGTGCTTTTATGATGCTTTTATGCTGTGCAGTGATGCTTTTATGCTGTATTTTACAGTCAGTGTTGCTGGCTTGTTTTTAAAGAGAACAAGTACAGTGGAAATTGTGCTAAAAAAGCAAGCAGAGGGCAAAGGACTAGTACTAGTATTGCCTGTGGGCTTTTCATTACTGACTTACTATGCCTTGTTCTGCACTTTCAGGATTTAGACTTTTTTGCTTCAAGTGGAGGTTGGGATGTGGTGAGCTCAATTGCAGACTATTGGTGTAGCCGTGTAGTGTGGAGCAAAGAGGAACAGAACTATCATATAAAAGGTGGGTGCCAAGAAGAAGCATGCCAGTATGTTTACTGTGTACTAAAACTAAAGTATAAAGACAACGTGACATTCTCTTTGCTAAAAGTTCTGTAAACTTGGCTGAGCTTACAAATAAATGCATTGCTCTGATGTGCTCCAACAGTCTGCACTGAGTGCAGTCTGCCTTCATATAGTCAGTCACCTTCTAAAGTGTACAGAGCAGCTTTTACTAGTGCAATTTATGTGCCATATCTGTACAATAGTAGATTATACGAACCAGGGCTATTTTATTGCTTTAATTTGAAAAGTATATATATATTGTAGGATACAGTGACATGTCCACTGGGGTGGGCCTGCATTTAGAGGGGGAGCATGTCATGATGAGCTAAGTAAAATTGGAGAAAACAAAATATCATAGAGAGGTTGTGGTGGGGGGAAGGCTGCTGAAAAGAGCTAAATCAGTTCATATGTGTTATGTCACCCACTTCATTTGGATCATATCTGAGTTCAGTTATTCTAAACTCTGAATCCACGTGTTATTTTTAGGAATATACTATATGAACAATTAGGATGTAGAAGAATAATTACACACAATGGTGCTGGTGTCAACTAAACATCATTGAGCTTGTACTCAGACGAAGATGAAGGTTGCCCCTGCTGTCCTCTCCTTCTGAAAATCTAGTTAGTCCCTGCGTCCAGCGTGTCACCAAGCCCTGCGTCCAGCGTGTCACCAAGCCCTGCGTCCAGCGGGTCACTCAGCCCTGCATCCAGCGGGTCACTCAGCCCTGCGTCCAGCGGGTCACTCAGCCCTGCTTCCAGCGGGTCTCTCAGCTCTGGGTCCAGCGGGTCACTAAGCCCTGTGTCGGTGCGGTGTGGGGGGCCCGGCCTAAAGCCGTGTAAGGGGCCCCAAAATTTCTGATGGCTGCCCTGGATGTCATGCTCATCCAATGGCTTATATAAATTTTAAGCCACAAACCAGAGAAAAGTATGCAGATCAGGAATGTTGACTTCTCTCTGACTTTTGGGTTGTATGTTTGTTGCTATTCGGTAATTTAATTTATAGAAACAAGAGACAACTAGGTAAGAAGGCATTTCAATAAGGGCAGTATTCATATTTCCATTTTCAGAATGGCAATATCCATAATTCCCTCAGCATAAGTTTTGCTTTAAACATGGGAACAGATTTTACCAACAGCACAATTTGTTAAACAACCTCTTTGACAAATTGGTGCAGATATCTCATCAATTAGTAGAACATTTCCTGTAGGTACATTCATTACATTTCCTATAGGTACATTCATTACATTACCTGTAGGTACATTCATTACATTTCCTGTAGGTACATTCTGTACATTATCTGTAGGTAAACTCAGTACATTTCCTGTTAGACTGTAAGCTTGTTTGGGCAGGTTCCTCCTCACCTACTGTTTCTGTATGTCAATGATGCTTGTCAGTGTTTCTTACTTGTCTTGTCTAAACGATTGTACGGCTCTGCGGAATATGTTGGCACTATATAAATAAATAATTGTGATTGTAGGTACATTCAGTGCATTTTCTGTAGGTACACTCAGTAAATTTCCTGAAGGTACATTCAGTACCTTTCCTGTAGATACATTCAGGACCTTTCCTGTAGGTACACTTAGAACCTTCCCTCTAAGTGCATTCAGTACCTTTCCTGTAGGTACACTCAGTACATTTCCTGTTAGTACATTTAGTGCTCCTCCCTTCTGTGAGCATTGCCAGGCAACGTGTCATCCATCTACCAAATGACTGTATGAATAGAACACTCAATTACTTTTTCATAGTTTCCAGTATCCAGAACAAGCAAATGAGAAACCCAGTAAGGGCCATTTACCTATATGGTGCCATATGGAGTGAGATAAAAATCGCTCTTGTCATTTAAGATCATTTATGTATGTAATAATACTTCAGATATGTAGTACATAAAAAAACATAGGATCGATATAGTAGATGTACTGTTATGTATTATTTTGGCTTGTTAGTTCCATTTTGGAGAGTTTTTTTGTCTAACCCTTCGTGCTGCTAATTGACAGGGGTTGTTCCTACGCTTAGTAATCGGCCATTACAAAGGAATCAGTACACAGATCTGATGAAGAGAGAGGATACAGGTGACACAACATCACCAGTCAGCAACAGTGGCCATGCCCCCTGTAGGTAAAAAGAAAAAAAAACCTTTAATCATCATTTTTACAATAACATTTATCTCCTTCTTGGCACAGGTGTGATACCTCCAGATGAATATCATGCAGATGTTGATAACTCAGCCTATACAAATGCTATTGCTCAGATCAGGTAATTCTTTCTAAAGGCACTGCCTTGACATTCCTGCAGTAGGTAATTTATTAAGGTAGTGTAGAGAGCAATGACCATTCAAAGCGCAATAACCAATCATGTTTTGATTTACTATTGTAAGATTAGCTTGTATGGTCAGAATAACCTATAACAGGGCTCACAATTTCAAGTCCTGAGCTACTAGCCAGGCCTTAAGAGTTACTAGCCACCAGTTGCCCCACCTAACCCTTACCCTGCCCTGGCCTTAACTCCGCCCCTAAACACACCCTCTTAAATAATCTTATGATAATTCTTATTTTATGATAGTTGCCGCTTGTAAACGGCAGATTAGGGATTCCTGCTGCAGGAAAACGCAAGTTCCTGACACAGGAATCTCTAATTACACCTGCGATATACTGTAGGTGTGAATGGGGCCTCTTATACACATAGACTACAGGTGTCCATACACCTGCCGATTATCGTACGATAATCGCGGGTGATCCGGTGATCGTACGATAATCGGCAGGTGTATGGGCAGCGTGCGACTGCTTCTACTGTAAGGTCGTACGACTTTCGTCTTCCAAGCACGCTGGAAAACCTGCCGAAAATCGTACGATTTTTGGTGGGTTGGTAAATAATCTTATGATAATTCTTATTTTATGATAGTTGCCGCTTGTAAACGGCAGATTAGGGATTCCTGCTGCAGGAAAACGCAAGTTCCTGACACAGGAATCTCTAATTACACCTGCGATATACTGTAGGTGTGAATGGGGCCTCTTATACACATAGACTACAGGTGTCCATACACCTGCCGATTATCGTACGATAATCGCGGGTGATCCGGTGATCGTACGATAATCGGCAGGTGTATGGGCAGCGTGCGACTGCTTCTACTGTAAGGTCGTACGACTTTCGTCTTCCAAGCACGCTGGAAAACCTGCCGAAAATCGTACGATTTTTGGTGGGTTGGTGGCGTGGTCGGAAGACGAATGCTGCACGGGCCGGTGTGCGGAAGCGTACACTACCCGCTCAGCACTGCAATCATCGGAAGCTTGCGATGATCGCAAGTACGATCTGCCTGCCCAAGATGGGCAGATTGTACGAGATTTTAATGACCTTACAACCATCGCATAACGAAAGTCGTGCGATGGTTGTAAAGTGTATGGGCAGCTTAAAACAGAATAATACACTTCTCGTTAACGTTACACCGTGCGGCTGTCACCGCACCTCCCGGTCAGCCCGCCCCAGACCCGGCTCTCTAATCGGCTCTCTAATCAGCCGCCGTTCGCTCCTCAAGTGTGTCCTCTGGAGGCCTCCGCGAGCGGCCCTCTACAGTGCCTGTTTAGAGGGCCGTGTCTGCCTGATCCAGCCAGCCCGAATCGCATACTGGCTCAGGGGCGTCCAAAATTAAGATAAGGGCTACTGGCCCCCACTGAAAATAGTCTCCACTGTGATATTTACAAATGAATGGGCGGCACTTTTTACATTTGAACAAGCCGCGACTCCCACAAAAATGACCGTGCGTTGCTGGAGTGTTCGGGTTGCGCTTGAAGAAAAGGTGGCAACCCTATGAACCCCCCCAGGAAAAAAAATTATCTACGGCCCTGTACTGGCTGGATCAGGTAGGGTCCCTGGGGCACGCGCAGACAGGATCCAGGGGGTCCCTGGGGCATTTGTCTTCAAATACTAGGGGCTTCAGCTCATCTGTCATCAGGATCCTGGGGGCCCCTAGGGCATCTATCGCTGGATCCTGGGGGCACCTAGGGCATTTGCTGCTAGGACCCTTGGGGCCCATAGAGCCCTTGCCAACAGATTCCTGGGGAAAGTGGGGCATTTGATGTTACGATCCTGGGTGCCCCTGTGGAACTTGTCATCAGAATCCTGGGAGGTCTTGGGACATCTGTTGCCCAGGATCCTGGGGACCAGGGGCAGGCCATTTGTCACCAGAGTGCCTCATGGAATTTCTTGTCAGGAATCTGGGGGCCCCAGGTTACTAACCATCAGACGATTAGGCTCAGCAGTGTATACAGTCAGGGCAAAGTATGTGCAGTCAGGGCGCTGGGGCCCCTTGGTGAGCCCCCGTGTAAGCACATTGATGGTGCAGGAGCCCCAGATTAGCTGTAACATGCCATGTGTTCGCTGGATGTACGATCTGGGCCCCGGACCGATGCTAAGGCCCCAGTAAATTGGCACAGAGAGAGTGGGGCCCCGAGTGCGTGCAGAGCTGTGGGTAGACAGGGATGCACATACGGCTACTACAAGTCCCAGCAGTCCCCGGCACTCTAAACCTGCAGTGCCCCGGGATGTCGATGTACTCACGCTCGGGGTAGTGGCTCCTCAGGCACGGTGGGTCCCTGCTGCTGTTGCTGGAAGGACTTCAGTGACTCGAAGGCTCTCATCAGCTTCTCCATTGTGGCCATTTTCCCTAAGCGGGAAGCTCCTCACCGCCATCACCAGCAGCCGGTACCTGGAGAATCACTAACAGCTCCGGCCTAACTCACTCCTCTGCCCCCAGCCAATAGTGAACGCCGCCACCGGCAGACGGACAGTAACACAGGCCAATCCGGGCGCAGGGTCAGGTGACATATTCAAAGATGGGATTGGCTGAAATCAGGGAGAGGCAGGGCCGGGAAAAGGCAGGCGACCCCCCTCGCTACACCACTGGCACAGAGACTGGGGGCCCGTGACCGTCGGCCGCTGGATACCGATCCGATTGCACCGGCTGCACCGGCGGTAGTTCCGCCACTGAGTCTGGGACCGTGTGCCCCACATGTCAGCTGGCTGTGGGCAACATAGTACAGGCTCGCGGGCCGGAGTTGGCTGCGGACCGGTACTTAGAGACCCAAATTTCCACTCGCCCTCACTTTATTTTTACTCGCCAAATGCGAGCAGGCGAGTGGAAATTTTGAGCCCTGACCTATAACATTTTACACTTGTGCACTGCCTTATTGAATAAGCCATTGTTGTTATAGAAGTGACCTAAGTCCCAGGATTTATATTAAGGATTTATTTTAAAATTTAACCTTAAAAGAAGCCAGTCATGATAACTAAAGGGAGCTGGCATTGCTCACTTGTTTTTGAAGGTGCAGGTTCTAGGGTTGGCATCTTGATTTCACTGCTTATTCTATCAGTAACCTGAAAGAAGCATGTACTCATCAGGCCTCGAATACCTAATCTTTGTGCCCAGTCGGTGAAAGAAGCAAAGGTAAGAATGGCAGCCCTAGCACATACACCTTATATGACAAGTCCTCATAGGCAGCTTTCCTGTTTCATATCCAACAGGTTCCCTCCAAGCTACCTCAGACATGAGATGACAGTCTCCTGATCTGAATCCTCCACATGACTGGTGGGGATGTTCAGATACCAGTGCCGATACTTGGCATTTTCACGAGAACTAGCACTGGCACCTAGCTGAGATGCTCCACCACTGTCCTGAAATCAATAGTCTGTCTTATTTTAGAAAAACTGTCATATGACAGTAAACCAAAATGTATCAGTACTTGTATCTGTGAGTACTTGGACAAGTATCAGTACTTGGAAAATGGTATCAGTGCATCCCTTATACAGGGCTTAAAATTTCCACTCGCCTGCTCGCATTTTGCGAGTAAAAATAAGGTGAGGGCGAGTGGAAATTTGGGCCCACAGCCAGCAGTCAGGTACGCGGTCTGCGACCGTGTGCCTGACTTGCAGGAGAAGCTCCACGGTCTGCATCTGTGTCAGATGCAGACCGCAGAGCAGCTCCTGTCAGTTCCGGCTTCCTTCGGCCGGAGCTCTGACAGTTCTGAGCTCCGGCGAAGGAAAGAATGTCTGTGAGCAGCATCGATGCCTGGCTATCTGGGTGTGATAGTGAGGGCTGCTGCAGACCTCACTAATCACTCGCAGATAAACCAGGTATCGATCCTGCTCACAGCCAGCCTCCTCCCTGCAAAGACGTGAACAGGTGAGGGGGCTCGGGGGAAGGGGTTGAGTGTTTTATAATTTTGTGTGGGAGGTTAATAAGGGTGGGGGGGATATTATTTGTTGTGTGTGTGGGGGGTTAATAAGTGGTGAGTGTATTATTTTATGTGTGTG